TGTTTTAAAACTTTAGTCTACAGCAAGTAAAACATTCTTAAAACAAAGATAGCCCACAGTAATACCGTAATGGACAATTATAAAAGCAGGCTATTGATCACATACACTCTAATTTGAAAATTGGGAAGTGTTGCATGATTTTCACGTTAGTTTTCTGGTATTAACCAATATTATCATCCATAACATTTTTAAAGAATTTACAGAGATGAAGACAAAATGTTATAAGAAGTTTTGATGTTTAACACAGAAAGTTGGAATACTATGAGAATAACTTATATATTATTATGTTAATAATATGTATTATAATAATGTATAATATAATATAATATTATGCATATTTTTTCCTAAGAGGAAATACAGTCTTTTTCCCTAAGAGGAAGCTTGATTAGAAAATATGCATCTATCTGGAAATGGGGCAAAACAGAGTCCATGCCTTTTATTTACCTCTTAATCTCAACATAATCAGCAGCAAAACATGATCCTAAATAAAACATAAATATAATTCTCACTATTGACTTATTTTAAAAATTTGAAAAATAAATAATACATATGCCACTTGAGTTCACAAATATCTCATATATATATTCTATATAGAGAATATATGGAATATTATTCTTTACATAGAAAATATATCTCATATATCTATGTTTAGAAGATATATAAATATTATATATCTTCTGTTTGTGTAAAACGTATTATGTCATATATAAAATATAAGATATAATACCCTATATTCTATATAGAATACTTATGTATTAATTTATATTTATAACATATTAATTTATAGAATATTAATATTTATAATATATTCTAGATAGAATATATATTATATTCTATTATATAATAGAGTCTATATGATACTATAAAGCATTATATATTAGGGTATTAGGATATTATAGAATATGTATATATTTTACTATAGATTTTGATATATAATATTTAATATACTATGACACAGTATAATATATATAAGCACAATACTATACATATACTATAAGAGTATATATACTATTTTGTATACTATTATTTAGAATATAATAGCAATGATAGTAACAACAATGCTAATAATCACTATCAAGCACAGTGCTACTCAGACTTTCATTCATCTACTCATTGATGTTATTTTACTGTGAACAGTTTTTGGAGGTAACAAGCCTAAGTTAGCTTGATTAAAGCTTATTTCCTGCTCTCTTGCTGGTTTGGTGAATAGCAGCCATGTAACAGATGGTTTGATACCATCTTTCAAGGTCAAGTTTATCTGGGTTCTTGGATCAACATCAGATGTTTTGTTGGGTACAGTGACTTAAGTCTTTCCACTTTAAAGGTGTAAAGATGAAGCTGTTTAACTGGAGATTCAGGAAGCAAAGACATCATTTTCTTTTTAATTTTTTATTTTAATAGTTTTAAGGGTACATATAGTTTTTGGTTACATGAATGAATTTTATATTGATGAAATCTGGGCTTTTAGTGTACCTATCAGCCAAATATTGTACCTTGTACCCAAAGCTTGATATTTTATCCCTCATTCCCCTTCCATCCTCCCTCCTTGAGTATTCAGTGTCCATATACCACTCTATATGGCTTTGTATACACATAGCTTAGCTCCCACTTATGTGAAAACATGTAAAATTGGGTTTTTTATTCCTGAGTTATATTGCTTGGGATAATGGCCTTCAGTTTGAGCCAACTTGCTGTAAAAGACATGTCTTCTTTTTGTGGCTGAGTAGTATTTCATATATATATATATATATATATATATATATATATATATACACACCACATTTTCTCTATTCACTCATCAGTTGATGGACACTTAGGTTGATTCTGTATCTTTGTAATTGTGAATTATGCTGCAATAAATATATGCATGCAAGTGTTTATATATATGTATATATATACATATACATACATTTATATATATGTGTATGTATATATATACACATATGTATATAAATGACTTCCTTTCCTTTGGATAGATACCCAGCAGTGAGATTGCTGGATTGAATTGTAGATCTACTTTTAGCTCTTCAAGAAATCTCCATACTGTTTTCCATAGAGGCTGCATTAATTTACATTCCCGCCAGCAGTGTATAAGCATTTTCTTTCACATCCATGCTAACATCTATTGTTTTTTGACTTTTTAATGATGGCCATTCTGGTTGGAATACGATGGTATACCATTATAGTTTTAATTTGAATTTCCTTGCTGATTAATGACGTGAAACTTTTTTTTCATATGTTTGTTGAATGCTTATGTATCTTCTTTGGATAAATGTCTGTTCATGTCATTTGCCCACTTTTTAATGGAATTAGATTTTCTTCCTGATTTGTTAGAGTTCCTTGTAGATTCTGGATATTACTCCTTCATCAGATGCATAGTTTGCAAATGTTTCTCCCATTCTATAGGTTGTCTGTTTAGTCCATTAATTGTTAATTATTTCTTTTGCTGTGCAGAATGATTTTCATTTAATTATGTTCCATATGTTTATTTTCCTTTTTGCTGTATTTACCTTTTAGGTCTTAGTCATAAGTTCTTTGCCTAGACCAGTGACCAGAAGAGTTTTTCCCTAGGTTTTCCTCTAGAATTTGTCTGTTTTCAGGTCTTAATTTAAGTCTTTAATTCATCTTAAGTTAAACTTTTCATGTGATAAGAGATAGGGATCCAGTTTCACTGTGGCTATAGGATTCACTATTTCACATGTGACTATCGAATATGTGTCTACTTTTATACCAGTATCATACTGTTTGGGTTACTATAACCTGGTGGTATAATTTGAAGTCAGGTAATATTACGCCTCCACATCCATTCCTTTTGTTTGGACTTGCTTTGGCCATTTGGGCTCTTTGTTGTTTCCATATAATTTTAGAATCTTTTTTTTCTAATTGCAAAGGCATTATTAAAGAAAAATAAGAAGTCTCTTTATGTGATTTTGTAGTTAGTTAGTATACAAATGTATATCACTAATTACAGGAAACACAACACAGATATGATTTCTTCTTTACCAATGTTAGTTCAAATCTTTCCATAAGAGGAGAGAACAAAAGGCACACAGTGCTGCCCTCCATGTTATCATCTTTATGCACCCATACATATTCTCTGCAGAACCAATAACTCTGAAAGAAAATGTATCTCCCTAAACCCTCTTAATTTTCTTAATCTGCTTTAAAAAGTAGCATATTTTCTTTAACTTCTTTGTGGCTGCTCAGAATTTTCCTTTCATCTAGTTGAGTATTTCTGCAATTCTTTCGCTTTTAATTTGTATTATGTTTCTGTCCTAGACTGAGTCTTCCTATATTTTATAATTGCTGAATTAGGATCAGCAGTGCCCACTTCTCATTCTACTTCTCTATCTGCGTCTCAGGATTTGAATTCCCTTTGATTCTCTCCCTAAAGATAAGTTCCTTGTCAGTTAAGAGTTTGAATCAAGTGATCTCAAAATAAGTGAACTTTAGGCATCCACAGTCATTATTCACTCTGATCTTCTTAACTGAAGAAGGCAGGTGTTGTCCATTTTATAATCAGAGTTACCGTTGGTTGCACACAGGTCTTCCCCATGAGATATCACCTGAACTATGAGATATGAGATCTCTAAGTCCTCTTATCTTCATACACTGTGTACCACAGTTGTGTTTGGGAGCTGAAAGCTTCTTAATAGAGTGACTTAAGGAAAGCAAACACCCAAAACCTAAAGGAAAGACCCTAGGGGTGCTACTCCTATTCTTTTTCCTCTGATGAAAACTTATCTCCTCTTCAGGGAAAACAGAAATTGTAAATACAGTATGCAGAAGCTGCAAATTGCCTCCAGACATCTATAATCCCTTTTACTGCATTAAAATATGTTAACTATTTGTGCCATATTGTGTATATTTTTTGTAGAAACTGTTTTTCCCATTCAAATATGTTATTGGAAGATTGTACTAATTACCTAAATATAAAACTAATGTGCTTTTTCCGTATACAAGAGTTGAAAAATCTATTATTTCCTAAGGTCCATTCAGGAGATTTTCTTGACATTCCATTCAGAAGCCAGTTTCATAATTATATGCCAATCATTTTGATGAGAAACCTCATTATTTCTCTTTATGAGATAATGTATATCAACATGTGAATTCAGATGATACACTTCAAAGAAACAAAAATAAAATTGAGACAGTATTTTAAGTTGTTATCCTTTTCTGTAGTTAAGTTCAGAATAAAAGTATGTGACATAAAATTACACACATTAGCAGAATCCTTAAAAATAATAAAAGGGAAGAAATTTTCACAAAGTCAACCATTAGATTAAAATTCATTTTTGCTGGTTTAGCTGAAAGATCATGAAAAAAATCCACCTGCCATTCAGTTTAATTTCTTGTGTTTAGAGCTCTACAGCATTCTGTGTAAAACTAATCAATAAACAGGATTTATGAGACCTTGAAATAGAACAGTCGAAAGAAGGAAATTATAGTCCGTTTTAGTTATTAAAGGTTTTCACCACTAAATTTAGTATAAGGGAAATGTTATACGTCTTTTTTAGCTGAAACAGGGCATTTATCAAGTACATGGATTGGGGAGACAATTGTGCTAAGACCTGCTGTAACGTGTCTTTATTTGTTGCTCACCATTTAATGTTGTGTTGGCTGTGTTGAAGTAGGCCCAAACAGAAAGGAAATGGGATTGGAAAAACTTGTTTTTTAAAAAAGCACAAAACAAGTAGCCACAGTGAGCCATCACCTACATATAAGAGAAAGTTAAAAAAGGGAAATACTCTTCAAAAAAAAAAGTATGAATTCTGATTCAGTCTGTGTTAAATTGCTTCATTTGACAATCTTTTGAAAAGAATGAAGGCAGGACGAGGAAAGTAGAAGGCAAGGGACAGAGGAAGTGAGGAGGAAAAGGAGTCAAAACCCACCAACACCTCAAATAGCTTTTCACTATTGTAAGATCAAAATGCAATTCTAATAATACTCAAAGACCCATCACTGATTTTCATTTATTTTTGGTATTTTAATATTTGCAGGACTATGAGCATTTCTGAAAATGGTCATACATGGGCTGTGTAACACTGTTGCTTGGTGACGGTGAGTGTTGAGAGACTGCCCCGAAGCACCTGGGGACTGGGCATACTGCCTGGAGACTTTTATTTGTGTACATTTCTCAGTAAGGTAAAGAGAAAAAATTTAAGAATTTAGCTTTTATTTGATGAATCACAAATGACAGATGGAAAATTGCGATATTTTGAAAAGAAAAAAATGCAGTGATGCACACAACATAAGACTGCCGTAATAATAATGGTACTTAGCATTTAAGCTGAGTTCTTCAGCTGCAAAGTACTTTGGAAACAACTAATGAAGCCTCATAACACTCCTGAAAGGCAGGTAAGCATCATTACTGCCATTCTACAGATGGAGAAAATGAGGCATGGAGATTGAGTATCTTTGCCTAAGGCTACTGGGATTAAATAGCAGCACTTGAATTAAGGTTTAGGGATTCAGTCCTTTCTGGATAAAAGATCAGGGTACCAGCATTACTTGAATTAAAACAATAAAGGTTTAATACTAAATATTATCCCTTTTGAAAAGAAGATTAACTCATCATTCGGTTAACACTGATTTTCTTATAAATTGAAATTATACCTGCCTTCAGAAAACAACAATAACCTGTTCTCAGTTTACTTCCCTCATTCATTCTCAGTCCACAATTATCCCCATAGAATGCCTTTACTGAATGACTAGATGATGAGGGGCTTTACAGTCAGTGTCACCTCAAAGCATTGAGATTCGAGTTTGCTTTATATTAAAGTTGCAAACCATATCAATAGGCTTCATTTCATATTATGACAAGGCTTCTCATTTCTGATGAGTTATCATTGTTAGCAATTTTAAAATCCTATATTATGTCAAAAAAGTACAGTTTATATCTTTCTGCTAGTTAACTCTCTCCATAATTTTCCTGAATCCCAAAATTATTGCTCAAGATATAGAACATTGCCAAAGAAGTGATTCTCGGCTTGAAAGAAATGACCTGGAAGTTGTATATTTTTGGAGGCTTTGCTGCTTTCCTTTAAAAGTCATGCAGTTTTAGTTTTAGGGTTTTTGTTTGTTTGAAACAGGATCTCACTCTGTGGTCCAGGGTGTAGTGCAATGGCACAGTCTTGGCTCACTTTAACCTCCGCCTCCTGGGTTCAAGCGACTCTGGTGCCTCGACCTCCCAAGTAGCTAGAACTACAGGTGCATGCCACCACAACTAGCTAATTTTTTGTATTTTTAGTAGAAACAGTTGGCCAGGCTGGTCTCAAAACTCTTGGCCTCTAAGTGATTCGCCCGCCTCCGCATGCAGTTTTTAACCAATGTTTTGCAGAGTTAGAAGCACAATGTGGAAAACATCAGAAATTTTAGGAAAAACTCCTTTTTTTTCTCTCTCTTTGGAAGATGAATGACCGTGTTTTCATTCATACATATTTGTAAATTCCCAGCCCCTAGGATCTTATCAACTGAGGGGACAAGATTTGAAACAAGAGTGAGCAGTTCAGTAACACTATGGTATGAAAATATAAAATTAAGTCATACTCTCCTAAATGTTGAGGAAACAGGAATAGGAAGGGAGATTCTTTTCTTTTGCTAATGTACTGATTTGCAAAATTTAATTCTAAAAAAAACTTGTTTTTAACTTAGAATTTGGTGATGGTTGTACAACTCTGTTAATACATTACAACCTTTCATTTATATACTTTAAGACATAAATTTCATGTTATATGAATTATAACTCAAGATACATACATATATATATATATTTCAAGGTTCAGAAAATGGCGTGCCACTCACCCACCCCACTCTATCCCAACTTCAGTGCTGGTCTGCCTTACCTTCTAGGACCGCTGTTTGGTATGTATTCTTCACAGTATTTGGAAGGAATTCTTTCTCTTCTCACTTAGTTTCTCTTTATTCTGCAGGAGCCACTTGAGTGCCCAGCTGCCGTCCATTCGGTACCCTTATCCCACCCGGTGGAATGCTGTCAAAAGAAACATCACTGCAATGCCTGATAAACTGACATGGGTCCCAGACCCAATAAGAGTGAAACCATCCCCCTATTTAAATGAAATTATGGCTGATGAGAAGGACAAATTAATTGCTCTGCCCCAATATTACACAAAACTTTGGATGTTGCCATTGTTACAATTTTATTTTCCCCAGGATCTCAGAGTCCCACCTTCATTCTTTTTGTTTAGTGTCTCAGCTGGGTCTCCACCTGTAGAAGACTAGAATGAGCACAAACTATGTCTTCAATGATCTGTAAATCCAACAGGAAACAATGTAATAAATATACTGTGTTTGCTAACCAAATCTGTGTAGGATTAGATTGATTAATTATTAGACAGATTAAGACGTCATTTCTTTTTTCTCTTTCCTAGGCTATCCTACTTCTTGTTTTAATGATAACTTCCAAGTTTTATCTCTCCAAGCCTAACCCCTTACATAATACAAGAGGACAACAATTTGCAAAATAAAGTTCTGTTGGCCCTAACTGCTAAATACTGAAATAGATTTCAAGCAATGTGAGTGTTTTTGAAACCACCTAAATCTGGAAGCCACCCTACTAGGAACAAGGGTTGCAGAGTGAGTAAGCCAGACATGTAGAAATAAAGATGACAAAATGGAAGGCAATTAATGCCTGTAATGGAGGTAGGGAATGACGAGTTAGGAAGAAATTTATTTTTAAATACTATCTGCCATAAAATATCCATGCTTATTTTAGAAAATTTGTAAAATGTTTAAGAATTAAACATCTTTTTAAAAATCACATGAACTCATTACCCTGCAACAAAACACACACAGATGAGTGCACACACTTAAACATACACATTCAATTAGTATATAAAGTTAACATCCTGCTAAGTATGATACTATATCATGAGCATTTTGTCTAGCCAGTATTCTATGAAAACATAATTGTAATTATTGCAGACTTTTCTAGAAAGTGAATATACCATGAGTTATTCCATTATTTCCCTATTAACATACATTTAGTGATTCCAATTTTTCACTGTGACACAGTGTCTTCTTACATAACCTCACTTATAGTTTTAACATTTTTTATTATTTTCTATTTAATCCAATGTTAGGGTTTTACTATATAAGGTGTATACATTATTGTAATGCTCTTTCCACTGGATGCCCAAAGCCCTCAGTAAGTTTAGTGAATAACAGTACGATGACCAAATATATGAAAGTTTTTCTCATCTTTAATTTTTAGCATTTTGTACTATATTTTCTTTTGAATAAATTAAACAATTCATTTAAAGTGTCAAGTAATGTGAGTGTTTTGAAACCACCTAAATCTGGAAGCCGCCCTACTAGGAACAAGGGTTGCAGAGTAAATAAGCTAGACATGTGGTGTCTTTCATATCCTTTCATAGTGTCTCATATAGTGAGGCATCATACATAATTGTATTATTATAAATTTTGTCACTAATGATGTACACATAGGTGCTCAATTACTAGGAAAAGGAATGCTTTAGCTTATCATTCTTTTATTATCCGTGGGTTGAATTATGTCTTATATTTATTGACCATTCATATTTCTTCTGTGAATTTTCTTGTCTTATTTATTATCAGTATATTTCATTTTTCTCTAGATTTTGTGTTAAAAAGCACTAAAATGTGTTGAAACAATATTAGCTCTTTGTTACTTTTGAATATTTTCATTAATTTATTACCTTTTAATTTCTTATGAGTTATTTTACATAAAAAGTTTATAATCATTAGTTAAATACATTGGGCTGGGTGTGGCGGCTTATGCCTGTAATCCCAGAACTCTGGGAGACTGCACTGGGTGGACCACCTCAGGTCAGGAGTTCGAAACCAGCCTGGCCAACATGGCGAAACCCCGTCTCTAATAAAAAATACGAAAATTAGCTGGGCATGGTGGCATGTGTCTGCAATCCCAGCTACTCGGAAGGCTGAGGCCGAAGAATCACCTGAACCTGGGAGACGAAGTTTGCAGTGAGCTGAGATTGTGCCACTGCACTCCAGCCTGGGCACAACAGAGCAAGATTCCCTCTCATAAATAAATAAATAACTTATTTATTTATGTGTGTACCTATGCAACAATCTTGCATGTTCTTCGTATGTACCCCAAAACCTAAAATGCAATAAAAAATGTAAAAAATAACAATAAAAATAAATACACCAGAGCATGCCCAGTAAACCGCATAAATTTACTGTGAGTTAGTACTGAGGTGAGTCTTATCATCAGAGAAGTTTGGGAAACCCTGAACTAGTTCATCCACATCCCTCTTGTAAAGGGGTGCCCTTGTCTCCTTTCCATTGTTCTCTATAGTTAACCTAAAATCTAATAGCCTAGGCCCTGCTTCGAGGGCCCCCATTTCGAGAGGTGAATGATCACCCATACTTTTCCAAGTACTTTAAAAATTATCATGTCTGTTGGGCCTCAGTCCTGGCAGCCCCAGAGGAAAGGAGGAAGGACTAAAGGCATCAGTCACTGTCTCAGCTCACCTGTTAGCATCATTCAGCTCCCTGAAAAGAAAGAAAATAAATAAATAAATAAATATATAATTTTAAAACATTATTATATATGCTATTATTTTCATAGTTAGAATAGCTTTTCCCAAAATTTAATATATGAAACACTAGGCTTCTAAAAACTTTGTTAAATAAATAGTCTCATAAGTTTGGAGAAAATGAAGATATATAAATTTAAGTGGTTTTCTTTCATATTTTTTCTGTTCGTAGGAAGTTAATATGCATTGTAGTGCCAAACAGCATTTACAAAACATATTTGACCATGGCACCCTCCATTCATAGCACATTTTGTAGGATTAGTGTGTCTCTGAACACATTTTAACTGACCTACATAGAAACTATTGATCTGTTTGTTCTAAGACCAGGTAAAAAAGTTAAAGCAGGCCAGGAACTGTGGTACATGCCTATAATCCCAACTCTTCGGGAGGCTGAGGTGGGTGAATCACCTGAGGTCACAAGTTCGAGACCAGACTTGCCAACATGGCAAAAACCCATCTCTACTAAAAATATAAAAATTAGCCGGGGGTGGCCATGCACCCCTGTAGTCTCAGTACTCAGGAGGCTGAAGCAGGAGAATCACTTGAACCCAATAGGCAGAGATTGTAGTGAGCCAGCATTGCACCACTGAACTCCAGCCTGGGCAATACAGCCAGATTTCCTCTCAAAAAAAAAAAAAAAGTAAAGAAAAGAAAAGAAAACTTAAACCATACTTAAAAAAATTTTTTGAAGCCTCATTATATATTCATTTATTTGTTTGCTTTATTTATTTAACAACTTTTCAGAAGTTATTTGTTTTGTAACTATTATGGGTTAGGGCTCTTCTTTTTTTAATCCAATAATTAATTCTCCCAATACCATTTGTTTAGAAACTTACATCTTTTAATCCTTTGGTTTGTGATGCCCTCTGTTTTTGCCGTAAGCTAAATTATTACACATACTATAGTGTGTGCAAATGCTATCTATTCTGTTTTATTAATCTGAGTGTAATTTCATGAACTGGAACCATAGTGTTTTAACATCATAACATAGTTAAACACCTGTTTTAATGTATTAAAAGATGTGAATTATTTTCCTTTCTCCATAATGTTAAGAGATACATTTATCTATTTTATTCTCACAGTGAATTTTGAATTATTTTATCATGATTTCAAATAACATTTATTAACCTTATCATTAATTTGAAAGTTATTTGCACACTTTTAAAAATCCAGTGCTCTGTTATGGGAATACCTTTTCTATTTTTATTATATTGAAGTTTTTATTTATATTGCTTATTAAAGTATTTTAAGACTCCTCATATAGATTATACATATTTCTTAATAAGATATTACTATTTTGTGAATAGTACCTTTTGACATTATGTACACAAATTGGTTATTGCTGCTGTACAGAAAAACTTTCAACTTTTGTCATTTAATTTGTATACAATCACTGTAATGAACTTTAATATTAATTTTCAGTGTTTTGCAGATTATTCTCTTGAGTTCTCTATTTAAATAGTCATATGGTCTGCAAATAATAATAAAAATTTATCTTCTCTTATTTCAGTATTATATTTTATTGCCTTGGCAAGAAAATCAAAGTCAGTGTTAATTAGTAAGGGTATTAGCAAATACTCTTGTTTTTTATGAAATATAATATTCAATAGTTTAAAAAATAATTTTAAGGTATGTTATCAATTCGTAATTTGGTAGGAATTAATTTTTAAAAATTAGGGCTGAGTGTTGGGTGCTATTGAATGCATTTTTACCAACAAATGAGATCAAAATAAATCTTATGGGATTTCTTCTTATCTATTTGCAACTATCCACCTACCTACTTATATCTACTTATACCTACTTATCTCACTGTCTATCCATATATATAAATATTCCTCTATACATTAACATGTGTATATATGTAGCTGCATGCATAACATATACTACAACAGACAAATACACATTTCTATGTCTATTACTAAAACACCTGACTTTTCTTGGCTAAATTCTCTGATTGAGGTTCTAAAGGTTTCTACAGGTCTTAGAGCTTAATACTCTCAAATAGTTTTCTTATGTGATCTCAGAGTTCTGTAATAGATTATTTTCAGATTCTTCTTGGGCCTCAGTAAAATGTTCTCTTTATCTTTCCTTATTAGACCTTGTGATATTATTTTGTTTTTTTCTCCGAGCTATTCTTAAGTCAAAGACATCCATATTCAGTGTTTGCCATCAGACAATGTATCAGTTTCATTTGGTGCTGCTCACTGTCTACCAGGTGCTCACTGAATCACCTTTTTATATCAGTATAGATGAAAGGGTACCTAATGTCTATGAGTCTTAGCCATACATCAGTGTGTCATAAAAGTTTATCAGCATCAGGTCTCTGGACTGAAATGGAACCATTTTCCAACTCTGTTTTCTGTATTATTGACCTCCTGCAGATAAAGTACAAAGGGAATACTCTTCTGCTTTAGGAGCTTCTGCCTATAGTCCATTTATGGTTCCACACCTAGAGGATGATGTTTTCTAAGTTATAATTCCCCTGTTCAACCCTGTATCACCTGCTTTTGTTCTCAATTCAGATGTACATACTTGTGTGTGGTGGGGTTGGAAGAGGTGTCAGAGGAAGGTGGAGGATGAGTGAGCCTTGGCGCCTTAAGAAGCAACACTTTTACATAAGGATGACTGCCCAGTGTTCTGTTAGGTTCTGACCTGGTGTCTCTAGATTGTGGGTATTCAGTAGTTGAAATGAGACATCTGTCTGTTTTGTTTTGTTTTATTTTTTTTTAGGGAAACCTGACTCCTCTGTTGCAAGGAAA